TGAAGCCTGTCTGGAAGACTTCAAATCTAAGCCCTGGAGCATGGTCTGATGAACCAGCAAATAACCCAATAGGATAGGCATTGTATGAAGTCGGACAACGGCGAGACTACCTATGACAAGAGAAACACCATTTGGCAACTGGATGCAAGACACAATCGGTGAAAACAACGATACGTTGTGTGCGCTACTTGTGCGTGCAAGTTCATTCTAGCTGATCACGGCCGGATTAGAGAAGTTCCTTGCACTGTAAGGGGACGGAGTGTGTACACGTTTCATACTAGTCGCTTCATTTCATAATACAGAAAGACGTTAGCATCACGATCAAACTACAACTGGGCGTGGAGTGATGGTCCACATACTTTTATAATTCAGCGGGCTATCCGGAACGGTTATACCCAACCACAGATCCCGAGACGCCGGGAAGGTAGACAGGTAGAAGCTAAAGCAATGCAAACTCACAACGTCGGCTGATTGAGCACCTATTACTTAATTTTCTTGGTCACACACACAGAAAGGGACATGGAAAGCAGTGATTTATCGACCGAAAAAGAAAACGAACGCGTAAACGCATAACTAAAACCTACAGAAACTAAATCTTAGAAGAAAAAAGATAAAGCCCAGATGATAGGAAGATGAGCCTGATCAAGAGCAACCTCCACAGCACGAAGTAGCGGCTGTGTACGAGGGAAAACAAAGATAATAGCTGTCGGCATGGGAAATACAATATAACCAAACAGTATTGACTTCATCAACCCCAATACAAACAGCGAACAAGTTGGACTGAGAAGAGGACTAAGACAATGAGGTGTGGCTGCTTACTCGTGTATGCAACAAAAATCCAATGATTCAGCCCGTAACAGGAGTCGCAGTTCTTCCAAATCGTAGAAGTCGGGAACATAGATCAGCACACGTGGATCTAAACCACGACGTAGCCTTGGGAGTACACGTTGTTTGAATGCATTCAGGCGAGCAAGTGGAATGGCTCGATCACCTAATCAAAACATATAGTGGGAAAATGTAAGGTGGAAAATGAAGCAGGTGTCGTTGTGTGAGCGCAGACACATGGAATTTGAAAGCACGAAATCACATCCAAAATCCTCAGGGGTGGGTGTCTAGGGTTGCGGCTGGTCACCCCTCCCTTGCACCTCGCGAAATGCTTTGATAGAACCAAGCGTCTCAGACAGTCTCTTCTGAGTAAACCCTAACCATTGCCTTATCGTCGCGGAGGTGTTTTCCCACCAAAGTACGAGGACGAAAAGTCAATATCCGGGTTGGTGGACCACTGANGACTAAAAGCCCGATTCCAAACCAACCAAGAGGAGGCGTACAAACCACACACACTCCCATTTGTGGCAGTGGTTACCGGCGCAATTGGGTAAGGAGGTGTATTGGACACCTTGAATGTTTGAACCCGTCCAAATGGCGTATGATCCGATGAACTGGACACCGGCTCCAATGGATTGCAGTTTTCACACACCGCCCGGCTGCCTTGCGGGTTAGGCTTTGGTTAGCTGAAGGCTCCGGTTGTGGAGTCCCCAAGAAAATCCACCTGCATTGGTCTGGGCAACCTGACAGTATTCATCCCGAATGCAAATCATGGAACCTTTATCTTTTTATAAAGATTGTTGTAACGCGATCTGTTTGGATTTAGGCGTGTGAAATATATAATAAGTAAATAATAAATAAATTTCGTTTTACTTCCCCTTTTATTTATTGAATATACGAATGTACAGTCAACATTCAGGAAGGGGGGCCGCAGCCATACAAAGGCTGCCTGAGAAGACGGGCGATGGTGGAGCGGTTCGAACCCGGGACTCCCAGGTCACAAGTTGGTGACCTAACCACTTGACCACCAACGCCCACTAAATCTGATAATCTTATCCAAAATGATTGTGTACCGGTTTCAGTTGCGGATCGATCTATGAGATCCGAACACTGCCTGTGACGTACCGCTATGGGGACAAGTACATTCGCCGTGACGTGGCATATCAGTATTCCTATGCGCTGGGTGCTCATGTGGTTCACCATTCCCAATCTACAATCTTAGATTGCCGATTTCATGCTATTACGAGGTTTCGTTTTTCGTGATCACCAAACAGAATTCTGTAATCCTCCAGTTTTGTTTACCAAATCGCCCTGAACACTGAATCCGCGATTTCTATGAGAAATTGATGAGTTTGTTGTCAGACCTATTTGTTGTCAAGGTGATCAACTCGTGTGGTTCGTTTACTCTATTACCTACTGTCCATTGATCTTCACAAATCGAATTCGTGTGTCCAAATTAAAGAAGTTTTCGCACCTGTTCTCTTCGACTGGACGCTCTCTCGAATGGTGGCCGCAATCGTCAAACTGGTTCAAATCAGCTATCAATGAGCGCGGTATTGAATATTGCCGATTGTCGAAATCAAGTAATGAGAGTTGTACGGATAGCAGTTATCAAACATGGCTGTCGGATATTTTTATTGTACACGTATAATCGACATGCGTTTATGTTCATTCTATGATGCACGCATGTTGAAAAACGTCTGTGGATTCAATCACCAAAGAATGATTCTCTCTGTACTGGAATCTGTGATTGAGGTGTTGAAAAAACCGACTTGTTTAAATACACGAGAATTGCAGTGCAATTGTTTTATTTCCCAAGACACAGTCGTGTGAGATGGACGGTGAAAGGGAGTGAGCTCCGAAGTCGCCTGGACCGACTCCTTCATTGTGGTGACAGGCAACTTACTTCCTGAGACATAGAGTGAAGAACCAAGGAAGACTGCAATAGCATAGTCGTGATGTCAAGTCGGTCAACAGTCAAGCTAGTTGTCACGAAATGTGGGTGTTGTTGGTGGTAGTAAGGGTTGAAAGCGGTGGCAGTGGTCGAGTGGTAAAGTCGTCGAAACAACCGCCTGAGGGTCCTGAGTTCAAACCTCGTCAGCGTAGCCCAACTTTCCCAGGTAGCCTTCGTATGACCACGGCCCTTTTTCTGGAATTTTATTGTACATTTCTATCATCAATAAGAACAAACAAAGGAAGTGCACGAACTGTGTTCCGAAGAAACCATGTCAACATCACTAATGTGTCTCTACGTTGCCAAGCACTTAACGAACGAGATAACTTATGAAGCCGTTTACGCAAGATGGAGCGAAATTCTGTGAAATCTCCCCGTGTTCTGGATGAGCTGACCATGAAGGAGAAAGAGGAATTTGTTGCTTACGTTTAATCGATTGCAGACAAGCCAGTCGAGCGGATACGTACGGCATTACGAAAATGTGTCAACCCTAGCAAGCTGGTTGGTGAGTTCCCTTCAGATCCGAAAAGATTTGTCCACGATTTGTCGTCTGTCAATTTGGATAAGACCTTACTGGAAGTGCTATCTCTGGGGTCAAAATTCTGTTGTCCAACCAGTAAGATTAAACAGTTAGATTTGGAGGTCAAATTTGAGAGTTTATTCGATCAGCTATCTGGACTTGAGCCATTTTCTCCGCAGGAGTTAGAGAAACTCAAATCCACATTGGTGAACTCATGCTACCAACATCGCGATCGTAAAACATCAACAAAGGGACTGCTTAGAACACCTGGAGCGTCTCAGAGAGTTACAAGCCGATAGAGAATTAATGTTATCAAGACCAGACAAAGGTGCGGATATTCTAACCATGAAAAGGTCTGACTACATGGATAAGATGAGGGCGATATTGAACGAACCGTCCAAGTTTACAAACACTCCGACTGAAAAGGATAAGACGATTCAGATAGAAAAAACTGATCTCCACAAAATTACGATATCTGAAGCAAAAAGGAACAATCGATGCACAAACGTTCGAGAGAATACGACCAACGGGTACAACAATTCCTAGGTTGTATGGAATTCCGAAAGTACACAAAGATGGGTTCAATGCACCTCGGTGCCCAATTGAGCCGGTGATCATTGCCACAACCGGGAAGGTGTGGGTGTGATTTGTACA